GGGGCAGCTGCCCTCACTGTCCCTATGCTAGGTCCGCCCCTGTCTGGTTCAAACCCACATGAGTTAACATTAATGTTGGTTGTGATAGTCCAACCCACATTTTTAAAATACAAGCCAGGGTTTTTACCAAAAAAAAAAAAAAGGCTAGGGCAAGTTCACGTTAATTTGTTAAAATATTTAAATTCTCACATTAGGAGAGAGGGCAACAAATGTACTGACTGGCTCGCGAATATCAGTCAAGTTTTGGATTGGGGGACTCACATCTTGGACAACGCCCCGAATGCTTTGGAAGACCTCCTGGTTGTGCTTGGTAGCCCCGCCCACATTAGATGGAAGCAATTTTTATATTGTGAATCATAGTCCACCATGTGAATATACGGTAGACACTGTATAATATAATTAACTGCAAAAAGATTGAATACTATTACTGTCAAGATCCAAACCTCGAATAATACCTAGTACCTACTGAACCAGTTAGCTAAGAAGTTACTCAACACAACCTTGTATATAGAAACCTTTGTGCCGACTCAAACATAGAAACACAAGGATGCAATAGTTATGCTGTGCAACCGAATGTACCATGCGCATGGTGCATACAGTTCAAAACGACGTCGTTTTGATTAAAAACGCGCGTCCCACTTTAAAAAAAAAAAATCAGGTTCGACTCTCAGCAATAGCATTATTGTGGATATATAGTTATGAAATTGTGGATATATAGTTATGAAATTGTGGTTATATAGTTATGAATTTATGGATATTTAGTTCATTCATTGTGGATATTTAGTTCAATCATATATTGTGGATATTTAGTTCATTCATTCATTCATTGTGGATTTTTACTTCATTCATTCATTCATTGTGGATTTTTACTTCATTCATTCATTCATTGTGGATTTTTACTTCATTCATTCACTGTGGATATATAGTTATGAAATTGTGGATATATAGTTATGAAATTGTGGTTATATAGTTATGAATTTCTGGATATATAAAAATGCTATTGCCGGGAATCGAACCTGATTTCTTCTTTAAGTGGGACGCACGTTTTTTTAACCAAAACGGCGCCGTTTTGCAACCGTATGCACCTTGCAAGGTGCATTCGGTTGCACAGCATAATTTGCGCACAAGGATGTGTTTGGGCCTAGCATGTGGACTAGACTCGTGCTAGTTCATGTGAACCTAACCCACATAGCTCCCTATACCACATCAACCCAAGTAAAAAGAAAGAATAAATGTAGTATGACTCTTACAACCACAGATCAAACTAGAACTAGAACACATCATATTGAGAATTCCTATGCCCCCTGTCCACATTTAGACAATTAAACACAAAACATGTGTTAATCCGATGAGGATTGAGACAGATTATTGTTCTGTCCAGCCAACCGACCAAACATAAGCATGTGAGGCTAAGGAAATTAAAACAGTAGGCAGCAGTAGTCAAACGTTACAAAACATTATTGCCTTATTAGAGTACGTATGAAAAGCACATGGTTGTTGATGTTGTTGGTGGCTCCACTTCAGCTGCATTGTCTGGTAATTCGCCTTAGCTTCTTGATTGCTTGGTTCTGGTTCAGATCAAGACACTGGTTGGGGAATTTCGGCCAGCGAGGCTTTTATTTTCTCGTCTGAATATGCCAAATCAACCATACCGCCTTGCAGATACTTCTCGTAGGATGACAGATCAAAATGGCCGTGCCCACACATCGCCATCAGGATGACTTTCGATTCCCCAGTCTCTCTGCAGTTGAGTGCTTCCCTTATGGCAGCCGCTATGGCATGAGTTGGTTCTGGTGCTGGTATCAGCCCCTCAGACCGAGCAAATTTTATGGCACCTATAACACCATTCAATATATCAAACATTAAGGTTTATCACTACGTCAAAAGCTATAGTTAATAACGAGCACAACTTTATTTCCTTATAATGTCACATTTTCGAGAGTCAGGGTGCTAGGCTTGGCCCTTCAGCCTCCGCCCAACAATCCCCTAGCCACCTAGTGCTGGACTTGGCCTTTCACGGGCCTCTGCACAACAAGTTTATTGAAACACTGGAAATGCATATGTTCTTAAGGAAAACGTTACCTTGGAAGCATTCAGTCTGAGGAATTGAAATTGCTTCCATGAAACCCAATTCATATACGTGTGAAATCAATGGAGCCATGCCATGGTATCGCAGTCCTCCTGAAATACGAGTCGGGTTTATACAACAAGCTAAGGGTATTATAGAGATAAAAAGTAGAAAAGAAGGCTTCAAATAACTATTTCACAACGCCAACAAAGCCTCACCGGCATGAATAGGATCAGGAACGAAGTTGTGTCCCAGCGTATGCATCTTCATCAGAGGAGTCATCCCTGCCGTATCCCCATAATCATATGCATATACACCTTTAGTCAAGGAAGGGCAGGCCGAAGGCTCGACTGCCCTAAAAACAGGATTGAGTTTTCCCTTAAGCTTCTCCCGAAGAAATGGAAAGGCGAGTCCAGCAAAATTAGATCCACCTCCTGTACATCCAATGATCACATCGGGAGTCTCCCCCAAAGCCTCCATTTGCTTTATACACTCCTCGCCAATAACTGTCTGGTGTAACAGAACATGATTCAGAACGCTCCCCAAGCAATACTTAGTATCAGCATTTGCAGCTGCAACCTCCACTGCCTCCGAAATAGCTATTCCCAAACTCCCGGGACTCGATGGATCCCCTTTGAGGATAGTCCTACCAGCCTCAGTCAGAGTAGAAGGCGAAGGGTGCACTTTGGCACCCCACGTTTGCATCATCAATCGCCTATATGGCTTTTGATCAAACGAAGCACGCACTTGCCATACCTGTGCATAAATGCACGTATTACACAAAAAAATGTTAACAATGTTTGGTAAAATATTTATCTTCTCAGTCAATTTTGGCTTATTTGACCACTATTAGCTGTTTGTCTTAGTTAAAAAATCAATATAAGTGTATGGTCAATCAGCTTTTTGTAACTCCAAAATGCTAAAAAGCTACTCAAAGCAACTTTTTCAATTAGCTTTTCGAGAAAAGAAATTATACCAAACAGCTAATTTATCAAACACTTTTCTACAATCAGCTAATGTTATTAACTAGTCATACCCTCTAACAGCTATCAGTTAACAGCCATTTACCAAACAGGGCCAATATCATTCTTCTGAAGTTTTTAGGCAATTACAAGATTTTGTTTGCGAGTTTGCAATTCAGAGAGGCTAAGAAAACCATTTGACCGAATGAAAAATAAAGCCGTTAAAGCAACAATAGAGCAATGGCTTACTTCACAGTTGAGACCAAATAAGCTGCACGCAAATGACAGTGCGCTCCCCCATTGCCCAGCACCAGTCTCGGTGACAATATTCTTGACACCTTGTTGTGCATTGTACCAGACCTGAGGAACAGCGCTGTTTGGTTTATGGGACCCAGCCGGGCTCGTGCCTTCATACTTGTAATATATTCTTGCAGGTGTATCAAGCAGTTTCTCCAGCCGCTTCGCTCTACATTTAACTACGTATCATCAACCATTCCCAAACACAGTACAAATATACAAAATCCCACGATAGGCAAAGAAACAAAAGAAACCTGATCAGGGGGGTCGGGCGCCAAAGCCTATAAACGTCTAAGACCTCCTCGGGTATCTGAATAAAGGGATCATTGCTAGTCTCTTGTTTGATCAACTCATCAGCAAAAAGAGGAGACAAATCCTCGGGTTTCGCGGGTTCGAAGGTCTTGGGATGGAGAGGAGGAGGGGGTTTAACCGGGAGATCAGCAATCAAATTGTACCACTGATTAGGGATTTCAATTGCCTGTGCTCTACAGCTAAATGCAAACTTCAAATGTTTGGGTTTTGCCTTTACTTCAAAATGCTTACCCCATTTACCATTACCTGAAGATGAGAATAATCATAAACTCAACTTTTTTTAATCTGAAATTTTTTCTGGCAAACTAGACCTAATCACAGATTCACAGCAGTTGAAATAGTTAACCTAAAATCAATGCAAGAAATGTTGTTTGGGCAGAGGAAAAGATTCAATCTTTGAATCTAAACCAGGAAAATTAAGATTAATTGGCACTAAAAACAGTAAAGCACCCAACTGCAATTCAAGATTCTTATATATACACACTCCACAAAGGTTACCAAAAACACAATACCATTCATTCATACAAGAAAGTAATACTAGAAAAGGAATTCCTAAAACCCAAAAAAAAAAAAAAAAAAAAAAAAAAAAAAAAAAAAAAAAAAAAAAACCTTTGAAATGGTGAAGTTTTGGACGAACATCAGCAGGCAGGAGAAGAGAATATTGAGCCATCTTTCCTGAAACAGCTTGAGAGAGAATTTGGTCTGCCACCGTTTCAGTATACAAAATCCAGTGGGAAAACCTTTCTTCACTGAAACCAACTATACATTTGTAATCTAACAACGTTAATAAATTTTAGTTCTTAGTCGTCCCGCCCCAGTCAACTTTGGATTGGCAGATGCTGATGGTCAAATAACATGTCAGTAGAAAATAAAAGTATAGAAGGGAAGTACATCTAGAAATCTAGAATTATTCCTAAGATAAAAATCATTTCTTTGATCACAACAAATTGAGAATTTAATGGGAATAGTCAAATAGAGAAACTGCCAACACATTTGTAAAGTCCGATGATATTTTTAAATTAATTTTTTTGTTTTTATTTGGTCAAATGTAGTTTACAAAATTGTCGTTTTCAACATTAAATACGACAAAAAGTGACACCTACCCACCATGTGTCAACATTTTCAAATAATAATGGAGCAAATTGATGTGCCAACATTTTCTGAAAATAATAATGGAGCAAATTGATCCGACGACTTGTATTTACAAAGTTACATGTTCTATGCCCGCATATGAAGCTCGGTTGTGGTAAAGTTTGAAAAGAATAATTAAAGATCGAGTCCATTAACAACAGTTAGAACATATAATATCGGTAAGATTTTCTCTGGTCACTCAAAAATAATAATAACAGGGTAGTAAAATAAATAATAAAAAGAAAAATTCCATAGAGAAACAAGTTTGCATTGGCACATTATCATATCAAACTCACAAAACTTTTGGGGAAGTGAAAAAGTTATGATTATATTACATTTTGAGAGGGGGAATTAAAGATGGATCATGCAAACAGTCCGAAGAGGAAGCTCATTGTTGTGCCGGAGAAGTTGTGTGCCAGGGGAGACAACATACGGGCAACCTTTGGCAATGTCGGATATGTTAAGGTGCCGAGAATGAACCAGTTGAAGCTGAGGAGAGCAACTGCCTCACTTGCAGGGTGGTTGTTAATGGAGGAGAAGAACTGGACCACGCTCCTCAACGAAATGGCGACCACCGTGAAAAGGGCGGCCACGAGGGGCACGCAAGGCTCGGCTGCACTCCACACCGTGGTTCCAACCACCACTGATAACACTGCACTGAAAACACTCCTAGAAAGCGCGGTTTCTCTTCTTTGGGATTGGAGGTAGTAAGTTGTGTCCAAATCTGCTGGCTTTAGAGGTTGTTTGGTGTCTTTAGCTGCTATGGTTGGTTTGTTCTCGTCTTCCCAAGCATTAGCTCGGGAGATTTCTTGGTATGTTTTGGCGGTTTTAGCTCTGTTTGGCCTCCGGGACAAGGTTGCTGCGGATTCTTTGGTGTAATTCGTGGTTTGGTTGTGGAGGTTGCTGGTGTCAACCTGTTCGGGGCTCCATCGAGCTTTGCCTCGAGCCTCCTTTAGCTGTTGGTTTTCCTCCTTTAGACCCTGAAGCTATTAAAACAAACATTTTTTTTAGTACTACCGACTCTGTTACAATGTAGTATCTGTTCATAACTACTTTCTCAACCTACTGAAGCACAAAGAGTCAATACCGCCCCATTGAGGCTTGAACCTATGACAGAGCCACTTCGTGTGGCTAGACCACAAGGTCATTGGCACGGGGCAGCATATATAGTTCAATGGAGAAATTAAAAACATTTCAAAAGACAACATATACAGAAACCAACCTCGTCCTCCAGTTGTTCAATTTTGATGATAGCCTCATTGTGTTCATCTTCGAGTTCCCTCAACATCAGCCCCATCAACTTGTGTTCTTTGATAGCCACGCGTAGTTGTTTCTCCACTCCCTTCTTGTCCCAGACCAAATTCTCCAACTCTCTCTGCATTTCTTCGAGATGCATTTTAAGCTGCACATATACACATTACATTACTCTTACATTAGCATCTGGCAATTCAACATCATGACACCAGAATATATACCAGACAAATCTTGGTCGAAACTCGAAAGCAAATAATTAACAAATAAAAATTCTCACCAGCTTTTCGTTTTGTAGAGCATTCAACACTCGCATAGGCAGAAACGGAATTGCTATTATCCAAGTTGTTAGCTTCCAAAGTATGCTAACATTGAGGCAGATAGCATTTCTCAGAAGCTCCATCCAGGTCAGAAGGGCGATGCATAAGCTTCTCACACCGAATGAGACTGATTGCTTGATCACTGAAAAAGGCTTCACCAGTACTACGAAGATAATAGTGCTCATCAGTTCGACTAACCATTCCATCTACTAGTTATCATCCACCAACTGTCACACCTTCACATCTTCATACAAGTCAAAAACAAACATCTTAATTCAACCTCGACAGCCATTTTCAACCAAAAATGTAACTCGTGCCCATAAAGCTCCATCATCTTTAATAATGGGTTTAACTTTAACCCCCACCCCAGCTGCTGCAATTTACATTTAGAAAAGAACTTCAGACAAAGACGACTGACTTAGGAAATGTGAACCGGGAGGGCCAAGAGATAGTATAGATTCCTCGCTATATCTCCCTTCTATATAAGTGATAAGTTGCTCAAACGCAACATCAACGGGTATTGGAGGTAGTCATTATTGGAGTGGGATATGGATAGAGATAAACAATATAATCTACCTTTGTATCATAGTAAAGGGCTAGCCAGCCAGTCTAGCTAAGTTATAAAACAATCTCACCCTACTATTAATCGCTACCCATTCTACTACTTTCATAAGCTGTGTTGAAAATCTAATTGGTTTCAAGCCCGGGAGAGACAAATTGTAGCGTAAACACCACATCTTTGAGTTATTTGTGCTTCAATTAACCACTACAAATGGCAGATGTTTCCTTAATACCTTATACTAACATATAATGGTGGAAACCTATATAGGTGTCAAATAGGGTGGTTTAATTTGTAGATACATTGAAAGTTCCATGATTTGGATCAAACAGATCTGAGATAAAGTATGCTTGTTTCAATCCAAAACGAAGATTTATGTCTTCTATGACTCGATATAATTATATAAATCACACACACACACATATTCATGGCGTCCATTAAAGACAGTGTGAAAGCATCTTTAATTTCTTCTGTCATTGCCCCGACAAAAATTGCAGAGACCTGCTAAGATAAACCTATTGCCTCGTGTAAACTCTTATATGTTTTGAATGAGGTTGTGTATCCTAGGACTGGCAACATCCCCACAATGTAACACTAAATCTATATCTATGCAACTATCCAGAACCATAAGATTCCAAGTTCGACCTCCAAATTCAAAACCTTAATCTGAATATCCACAAATTATTACTCCTACTCGTGAAAGAGGAAAGATCCTGGAGATCAATTTGAAAAACCTAATTCTTAATCAATCACCAAATTAAGGTAAACAGATACCAATCCAATGCAAAACAGACATGTAAAACTTCATTTTCCGGGAACAGAAGTGTACACAGACGTATATATAAAAGCAAATACATACAGACAGAGAGAGATAGAGAGATTTTACATTAGTGAGCTGAAGCGGGAGGGAGGGATGGCGGAGGCGAAAGCGAGTGATGAAGATGCGAGGGAGTGATGGTGAAGAAGAAGACGACGGAGATGAAGGTGACGACATGTCAGAGAACTGGAGATGGCATGGCACGAGAGCGACACGTTAACAGTTGGGGAGCCACGTGGGAGCGACACGTTATCGGCAACTTTGATTGCCCTGGTGGTCGAAGATGAGGATTATCCACAACTTTTTTGACTGCTGACGTCACACTCTCAAGTCTTAACCTCCCCACACCGCCGTACACGCAACTTCAATTTCTTGTCCTTAAATAAAACAATACTCGCCTCGGAATCGGAAGGGTTCACAAGGTTATATTAGTGTCATTTACATGTTTTTTATCAATATATAGGGCTTGTTTGGTTAGTCGCGGATCCCGCCAAATCTTGACGGATTCGTCATTTTCAACGTTTTGACTTTGATCAAAATGCTAAAAACAGTATTTAGCAAATGGCAGTTTAGAGCAGCAGATTTGCTCCAAACCGCCAAATACCAACACGCTACAAGTAGCAGCATTTATCTTTCCCCAAAACACCCCTATATTATTATAAATAAAAAAAAAATTGTAACTGTATTTAGAGCTATTAAGGCTCCTTAATTACAGGAGCCATTTTGGCTCTTTAATCTCAAAAAGAGAAGTGATGCTCTCTTATATAGAGGAGCTCATTTGAGCTCCTCTTCCTGAGTTACCGATGTGGGATCAAAAAATGATCCCACGTCTGTAACTCTACTTTGTGTTTTTTTTTCTTACATTTTTATTTTATATATAAATATATAAATTTCTTTTTGTATAATAATAATAATAATAATAATAATAATTATTATTATTATTATTATTATTATTATTATTATGTATAACTTTTAGGTCATTTTACATGTTAACTGCTAATTTAAAACGCTAATTTTACCAAACACTTTTTTACAAACCGCTGACACAATTCGTTAGTCAAACACGCTAACACAATCCGCTATTTGCTAGCCGCTAACACAATCCGCTACCGCTAACCGTTAACCGCTGATTGCCAAACAAAGTCATATTGTCAGCTTTTTATTTTTTAGTACTATTGATTCTGTAACAATGCAGTATCTGTTTATAACTATTTTCTCAATTTATTAGAACACAAAAAGTCAATATCGCCTCTAACCTCTCATATAAGAGAGCAATTTGGTATACTAAACTACAATGTCATTTACAACAATATTATCAACTTAAATACGTTTTTTATTAAATCACTCAAGTTATATAAACTATATACTTCTGCAAATAAGAAATTCAACTTAAATCTTGTTACAAGAAACAAGTTGTAAATAAAACTTTTCATCTATTCAAATTATTCACTGATCACTCAAGCAACGTTGTCCGTCCATAAAACCGGTTAACGAGAGGATCCATGATGAGGTTAAGATCACGATTGAAAAGAATATGAATATGGATATATAATTTAAAAATTACCAAAACTAGAAAAGGATTGTCGAGTATATATATAGTATGTGACATTTTTGGTCAATGTCCAATATGGGCTACTCCGTATTAAGTTAGTCTTCCCATAACATTGGAATTAACTTGTCTGGTAAATTAAAGGCCACATTTAAAACTACGGTCCAACCAAATTTGCATTAATTATATGCTAACGTGTGATTGGTAACAATTCTATACTTAGTCCATTCTTCAGCTACTGGTCTATGTAACCATATGACAATTATTATTTTTTTATTCGCATGTAACATCTTAAATTCTAGGAAAATTGCTTGATTAGGACTAAATTGTATGTAAATATTACGTAAATAAGATGGTATAAACATCTTCTTACTTAATAAAAATATTCTAGACGGGAAGTGCACTTTGCCTAGCCCATATGCTGACGCGTGATTGATTGCAATTCTGTAGGCAAATTATATCGTGCATCAGGACGCACAATGGATTCAAAACGATGTCGTTTTGTGTCTTTTTTTTTTTTTTTTTTTTAGAAATTTCGTAAAAAAATTTCGTTTCCGTTTCTACTTTTAATTTAGTATATAATTGTATAATAGAATATATGTAATTTTTTTTAAATGATAATACGCATAATCTAACATAATACATAATGCACATAAACTCTTAATATAATACATATAAACTCTTAACATAATATACATAAACTCTTATTATAATACACAAAAACTCTTAATTAACTCTTAACAAAAATATCTCATGTTTCGAATGTACATAATTGTATAATATAGTGTACATAATTGTATAATAGAATTAATTTCACTTTTGGTCCCATGACTTTTGAGTTCTTATCACTTTTGGTGCACAACTTTAAATTTTTTCAATTTTGGTGCCTAACTTTGTTATTTTTATCAGTTTAGGTCCTTCTAGCCAAATTGACGGTAAAATATTTCCAGATTTTATATTTTAGGGGCAAAATCGTCATCCCATGGAAAGATCTTCAATATTTAAACAAAAGAAAAATCATATTAAGAGGAAAAGAAGAGTTTGCCAATGGTCGAAACTATAAATTCCATAGATCTGTCTGGTTTCTGCCCATCTTCCCCATTATTCTCATCATCAAACACCTATAGATATGATTTTACGGTGATTTTGTTTAGATATTGAAGATGTTTCCTTGGGATGACGATTTTATCCCTAACAATATAAAATCCAACAACATTTCACTGTCAATTTGGCCGAAAGGACCAAAATTGATAAAAATAACAAAGTTAGGCACCAAAATTAAAAAAATTTAAAGTTGTGCACCAAAAGTGATAGAACATCAAAAGTCGTGGGACCAAAAGTGAAATTAATTCTTGTATAATATAATACACATAAACTCTTAACATAATACGCATGTCAACTCCCTACACAACTTAACAAAACGACGTCATTTTGGGTAGAACGGGATGCACAATGCATTGTGTGCCTTGGTGCACCATATAACAATTGAATTCTGTACTAGTTTATCCTCCATATGGCATAAACATCTTCAACGTTTATTGCTCTACTAGTTTTTTACGCGCACTACGCGATTGGGATAATGCCCAATGTTTTTCTTTAGTAAGTACTTTAAAGTATATCAAGGCAATATTATATTGAATAATTGAATGTTGAATTTGTGTTTTAAATAGGTAATTTTAAGTTTACAAATGCAAGATAATATAGTCAAGATTGATTATAATTGTCAATAAAATAATTGTATATGTATTTTGAAACCAAATACGGGACATAAGGGAGAGCAAATAAAAATTAGGGCATAAAATATTAAATATCTACTAATATTGAAGAGATAACCGCTGATTGCCAAACAAGGACATTGCGAAATAGTTTTCCATTTCAATTTGTTGTGTGATTTGAATACTCTTTTTGTAAATAAATCTCCTAAGTAGTTAATATGATTGACTTAATTATATATTTTTTTTATTTTTTTTAATTTTTTTTAAAAATTATTATTATTATTATTATTATCATTATTATTGTTATTAAATATATGTATACCCTTGATATAATTTTTTTCAAATATCTGTTTTACAACCGTTGATATAATTCGCTACTCAAATTCGCTAACTGTTGATTGTCAAACAAGGACATTGCGAGGCAGTTCTCACTTCAATTTGTTGTGTGATTTGAATACTCTCTTTGTCAACAAATTTCCCAAATAGTTAATATAATTGACTTTATTAATTATATTTTTTAAATTTTGTCATGGTATTAATAAAATACTTTGGTAAATAAATATATAGCATTAACAAATTTCCCAAATAGTTAATATAATTGACTTTATTAATTATATTTTTTAAATTTTGTCATGGTATTAATAAAATACTTTGGTAAATAAATATATAGCATTATTTTGTATTATAACCTGATATTTAATTAAAAAAATAGTGCACAAAAAAAATAATAGACAATGTAGTGAATATAATCAATTGATGAATTTGAATGTAAAGAATTTTTACATTGGAGAAATATAAAGACAATATAACTAATAAAAGTATTTCTCTTAATTAATTTATTGATAAGGAATAATTTTTTTTTTAATAAAGACATTGTAGGTACAATTTAGCGAATATAATCAATTGTTAAATTTGAATGTAAAGAATTTTTATATTGGAGAAAAATAAAGACAATAGAATTAATGAAATTATTTCTCTTATTTAATTTATTGATAATGAATAATTTTTTTTGAATAAAGACATTATAGACACATAATTCAAAATTAAAGAAATGCATATGTATTATTTTTTGTTGTAGCTACTAAATTATTATTTTTAATTTAGTAAGAGTAAAATAGAGTACTAATTATGAAAATTTTGATTGGGATGAGATTCGAACCTAAGACCTTTGTTATTGAAATCAATGAGTAAGTTAACGGTGAGCTAATAGAAACTAACGGAGAAAATAATATTTAACGGAAAAGTTAACGGATAATCATATAATTAAGGATAAATTAGTAAATCTTAAGAAAAAATTAAAATCTGATCAAATCTGAGCCATTCATTTGATTTAAAAATTTGACTGCCATTTTTTCTACCCATTATAGGCCTAAAACTCTTGGGCTCTTATTAGTATAGTAGATATTTTTTAAATTTTTTCATGGTATTAATAAAATACTTGGTAAATAAATATATAGCATTATTTTGTATTATTATAACTTTGATATTTAATTAGAAAAATAGTGCACAAAAAAGATAATAGACAATGTAGTGAATATAATCAATTGATAAATTTGAATGTAAAAATTTTTACATTTGAGAAAAATAAAGACAATATAACTAATGAAAATATTTCTCTTAATTAATTTATTGATAATTAATAATTTTTTTCACTGAATTAAGACATTGTAAGGATAATGTAGCGAATATAATCAATTAATAAATTTGAATATAAAGAATTTTTATATTTTAGAAAAATAAAGACAATATAACTAATACAATTATTTCTCTTATTTAATTTATTGATAATGAATAATTTTTTTTTGAATAAAAGCACTGTGGACACATAATTCTAAATTAAAGAAATGCATATCTATAATTTTTTGTTGTAGCTACTAAATTATTATTTATATAATTTAATAAGAGTAAAATAGAGTACTAATTATGCCAACTTTGATTGGGATGAGGTTCGAACCTAAGACCTTTTTTTTTTTTTTTTTTTTTTTTATTGAAATCAATGAGTAAGTTAACGGTGAACTAATGGCAATTCTTAAAATTTTAACGGAATTAGTAACGGTGTGTGGGTGTTTTAGGAAATTTTAGTGTAAAATTTAAATCTTATCAATCTTTTAATCAATCTGAGCCATTCATTTGATTAAAATCTGTGACCGCCATTTTTTCTACCCATTATAGGCCTAACTCTCTTGGGCTCTTATTAGTATATATATAAGTTTTAGTGTAAAATTTAAATCTTATCAATCTTTTAATCAATCTGAGCCATTCATTTGATTAAAATCTGTGACCGCCATTTTTTCTACCCATTATAGGCCTAACTCTCTTGGGCTCTTATTAGTATAGTAGATAGTAGATGTAACAATATGAAATTATTTTTTTATTGGCACGCAACATCTAAAATTTAAAAAAAAAAATAAAAAATTGCTTAATTAAGACAAATTCATATAACTTATCTATAGACACAAATTTTTGTGTAGATTAAATGATAAGTTGTATTACAAATTACATTGCTTCATTTTACCAGGACTATGTGGTCCAATGGTACCCGGGTTGGACTTCCATTTGGAAGATTATGAGTTCAAGCCTCAGTGGAGGCGTTATTGGTTCTTTGTGTTTCAGTAGGTTGAGAAAGTATATGAACAGATACTACAATGTAATAGAGCCAGTAACTTTCAAAAAAAAAAAAAAAAACATTGCTTCATTTTTGTTTTCTCTGCAAATAACATCTGGTAGTAGCACATGTGAATTGTGTAAGTGTGGTGTTATCATGATATATGAACAGGTATTTTAGTAATTACTCCGTAATTGATATAAGGAAAGAATTTTGAAGTTAAAGTGGTGTACGTGTTCTTCCTTCATGTCTAAGGTCAGAATTAACCAACTTTTTCCTTCTCTTTGCTTCTATTATATTATATTCCTTGTATATCTTTTCACATAATCTTCCCAAAACCCAAACCAACATGCATGGATGGCACAGTGCTTCAAAAATCACCATTCTACACTCGAGTATAATCGAGTTAAACCAAATACAAATACTTAATACTCAAAACTCAAAACTCAAAACTTGACTTGATTTAAAAAATTGAAGTTGGTCTTATTGAGTTCTAATTTTTTAAATCGACTCAATTCAAGCTTGAGCTCATATCAAGCTCCTCTGAATATGCTCAATAAATATTTTTAATTTTTTTTACACAAAGAACTATATTGACAAGCATTTTACAATCAAATATTATAACAGAAATCAATATCATATCTCTATTATAAACATGTTATTATAAATAAATATAGATGTATTACATTTAAAAAAAAAATAAATGAACACACCAATTCTTTGAGCCAAGTATTCAGATATAGAGTACTTGAATTCGACTCGACCTATTACTACTTAAACTATTGAACATTCAATAGTTCAAGTAACATAATCAAATTCGAATATTCATTTTACACTAAGAATTTGATATACATGAGAAGCAACAGAACTGCAGCAATATAATGCTGGTTACAAAAACATCACCATATATATTGTACACTCCAAGTTCCAATTCAACAAAAAATAAGAAGAAAAAAAAAACCAAGAAAATGGTGGAATTAATATTTATTAATTTCTCCGGTCCATCCATGAGAAATGGAGATCGATCAAAAAATGAAGAACTGTAATCTACCTAGACTTAGTGTTGCACTTTGGGTAAATGGTGGTTCCATCAACAGGAAGTTTAAGTCTGCAATCAAGGTGCAACCAAAACCTGACAGAACCGATGACCCACACGCGCCACCGCGTCCGCGTGTTCCCTTTCAGCTCGAACGTCACGTTGCTGTTCTTCAACCCGGCCTCCACCCTCTCCCCTTCCTCCGGCGTCAGCGGTATCGGCGACGACTCCACCTGGTAATACAGCTCCGTGGAGCTGTTCTTGGGGACCTCGAAAGGGTCGGCGTTGAGGTACGCCACTTTGACGCCGTGGAAGCTGAGCGCGTAGCTGGTCTTGTAGAAGTACGCGCGGGCCCTCGCGTTGTCGTTCTCGGCCTTGATCACGATGGAGATCTTCACGGTGAGGAGGCTGACCATGTCGTAGTAGAGGGTGTCGATGCGGGCGTTGGCCACGCTCATTTGCGGCACTTTTGGACGCGCCACCATGTAGCCGATGAAGACTACGATTCCGGTGATGATGACGACGACGGTCAGGACGGCGCAGATTATGGCCAGACACCACACCAAGGGGTTGGTGCGCCGCCGGGGACCCAGCGTGGGCTTTTTCATCGCCGGCCGGAGAATCTATCGCTGGAATTGGGTGGGTGGGTGGGTGTTTAGTATGATTTGGTAGTATGGTTTACTACAGTTTATGATGGAATGAAAGAGAAGAGTTGAATTAGATGAGAATTGTTGAGTATGTAATATATATAAACATAAATTAAATGTGTAATCTATCTATTAGTTTAGATTTTTAATTGAGATGGAACACATATTTCAATTTGATATGAGAGTTATGTCAAAGGTCATGAGTTAACTATCAACTTAGATTTTTAGTTGAAATGAACAGATCATTCAATTAGAATGAGGTACTTAGCTCCATTCGGTGGGAAAGGTTAGACGGTATCTTCTTTTCCCATGCACAAAGCCACCATATATTACTCATATTCTATTAATTACTTACACACATATAAAGAAGGTTAGAGAGAGAGGGAGAGAGGAATTGAAGGGAGAATATTCACCTGTATTAATTTGTATAATTGAATATATTATATTGTTGACTCATGCATGCACGCAATGGATCAATGGAACCCAAATTAAATTAAATAATTAAATAACTCAAAAGTGACATTTTTGTGAGTTGTGACTCTCTAAAATAAGAGGCTCGAACATTGGCTAAGATACTGGGCCAGGTATTAGATTATTAAGCCAATTAAACAGTTATACAATCTATCCATCAATTATAATAATAATACAATCTAAGTTGAAAAAGTAATTATGAACTAATATTACATTATACAGAGTAACAAAGTCAATAGTACTAAAAAAAAATAAAAATAATACATAGTAATAAATTACACACTTGTAAGTAAGGTATGGAGTGGCAATCGTGTTTTTTCTTTTCCAAAACTATAAGTAGAATATATTGGAGTATGGGTTGTCCATCTGGGTAAATTACACTGTGGACTATATATAATAAGTTAGTCAACTGATACATATTCAATTTTAGTATATTATATATTTAATTTTAATATATTATAAATTTGTTTTTAGATAGTAAACTAATTAAAATGAATATATATTAAAATATATTGAATCTATTAAAAATAAACATGGATGTCAGCAATTTATAGTATAATAACAATCATTCCATATGGCTTTGGTGTATTGTTGGGCCTATAGGCTATAGCTAATCCAAAATTGTCGGCAAATTATGTTGTGCATCTGTATGCACCATGCATGTTGCATACGAATGCAAAAACGACGTCGTTTTAATAAAACGCGCGTCTTCCCTTAAAAAAAAAAAAATCAAGTTCGATTCCCAGTAACAACATATGAACTAAAATTTCATAATCGATGATTTATAATTCCATAATCGATGAACTATAATTCCATAATCGATGAACTATAATTCCATAATCTAATCTATGAATTAAAAATTCCAGAATGAATGAACTAAAATTCCATAATCTATAAACTAAAATTTCAGAATCGATGAACTACAATTCCATAATCGATGAACTATAATTCCATAATCAATGAACTATAATTCCATAATCTATTAACTAAAATTCCAGAATGAATGAACAATATAATGTTGTTGCTGGGAATCGAACTTGAATTTTTTTTAAAGGGGAGACGCGCGTTTTTTAATAAAACAACGTCGTTTTGGCATCCGTATGCACCATGCATGGTGCATACGGATGCACATCATAACGATTGAAAATTGTCGTAGACAAGTGGATCCAGGCAAATTATTGTATGGACCATGGTCCACACAATGTTATGTGGACCATAATAAAATGTAAATTTTTAATATACTAAATGTACATTATTTTTGTACTGAATGTACATTATAAAATATAATGTACACTCAGAACAAAAATAATGTACATCCCCTGAATATAATGTACATTATTTTTGTATTGAATGTACATTATTTTTGTACTAAATGTACATTATTTTACCGTAGACAAAATATGGTCCACACAACTTGTGTGGACCATGGTCCATACAATAATGATTGGTGGATCCACATTTGAGAAACTCATTTGGGCCTTTGATACAATGGGTTGCATATATTGATGTATATCCCAAGTCCTAAGACAATCGTTATGCCATGGAACCGTGTTCACCATTCATGGTGAACACGGTCCCAATAGTGTTAGTGCATCGTTATTTTTTTTTTCTTAATTAATCGCGTGATTTTTCTTCTTTATTTTCACATTTCGCGATTTCACTTTAATTTGAGGTGAGCAATTATTTCGGACATTCATAAATTATGAATCTATGCCTGCACATTCACTTTGGAACCATGCCTACACATTCCCGTCCGAAACTATGGCTGCTCCTCTGTAGCGCAAGCTTCTTCAACATTCATAAATTATGAATTTTCTGTTATGAGAATATGAATTTACAGTAAATTCATAATCTCATAACATAAAATTCATAATTTAATAAATGTTTTTCTTTTATGCAATTATGAATTTTCTGTTATGAGATTATGAATTTACAGTACATTCATAATCTCATAACAGAAAATTCATAATCTGACCAAATGTGCGCCGTTAACACCACATTAGAAATTATTATTATTATTTTTTACATAAAAACAGCGTCGTTTGAACCCGTGTTCACCATTCACGTTTTCAGGACATAATTTACCCCTAACACACATTACGCTGTTTGCTTAATTAATCTCTTTTTTTAAGGACTTAATTAAGCTCTTTGATTGCATTATGCAACCATCGTTTGCAGGTCGATGGTAACTTTATTGTTTGAAATTTCACTGGAATTTAAAATGTGGGTTGTCAAAAATTTAATAACATGTGACCACAGGTCTTAATCAATTTTTGAATTTTATTAAATCAAAATAAATTGTTAATGTATGTAGTTATATATTTAAAAAATTTAAAAGACATTCAGCTAAATATATTAAAACCCATTTGACCCTTTCCTTTTATTTTTTGTGGCCCAAACTCCCAAGGGTTGCAATTTGCAAACCGTCTAATCACCAAAAATGATTTTGGACATTAAAAAAAATGTACTCGTATTACCTTTGATGGAAGTAAAGAGCCCAAATGCCACACATTGTAAAAGCTCAATTGTCCTCTTCTCTGCCGCAACCTTAGCCATCCACGTGAAACTGGCAAATTATTGGCTCCACACGACTGTGTGGACTACGATCAAAATGATATCAAAGAATTTTATAAATTAAAATAATGTATATTATAAATTATAATAATGTATTTTATGTGTTAGAATAATGTACTTTTATGTATTAGAATAATGTATATTATGTGTTAAAAATAATTAAATTTTTAAAGTAAGATAATGTACTTTATGAGTTATAATAATGTACATTACAAATTATAAAAATTTATGTTACAATAAATCACTTGAAAATAAATTTGTATAAAACAACATCGTTTTTTAATCGTGGTCCACACAATAACAATTGCGTGAAACTTCTCATTTTACATCGTTTTATTTCGTTTGTGGTCGGGATAATTTCTGCTTTGTGTTTCTTAATTATTTGTATAGTTTGAAAATTATAAATAAAATGCAGAGTTTCACGTTAAAAAAATTAAAAAGAAAATATGAAATTATCGGATGTCCCCGAAGGGACATATCACATATGTGTGGCTATAATAAGTTTAAAAATTCTACTCAAGTTTTTTTTTTTTTTTTTTTTTTTTTTTTTTTTTTATAAATATAATTATTAGTCAAATGTGAACTAACTAAATATTGATACACAAGGAGGTGAAATTAAGAAGTGAATGTAGCATTACTTTTTGGGTAGTAAATGGCATCACGTTTAAAAACAAATGATGACGGTAATTGATCTGATGTCAATAATATTGTAGTCTAGTGACATAAAATGACTTTTTAAATGGGAAATTATGAACTTCAGTGAGAACGGTATTGACTTTTTGTACTTTTCTAGATTGAGCAAATAGTTATGAACAAATACTACAGTGTAACAAAGCCTGTAATACTAAAAACCCCTCTAACTATTATATTGATAACCTGCATATACTGGTTTATCTCAATTCAAATGTGTAATAAGTCAATTTATTCTCGAATACGTAATGACTGTTCGACGGAGTGTTAAACAACACGTGCCTATTCAATTCATTGGCCTACCTAATCAAATCGCTACTAGAAGACAGTAACGTCCATTGATGTGTTTTATAATTTTCCATGTCGTTTTGTAGCATTCCACGAGAGAGACCGAGCGAAGTAGACAATTCATGATTTCGTTAATTACTTTTTATAATTTCAATATTAATACTTTTTCTTTTATAAGTTATTTTCCACTATCCCATCAGCAGAAGCAGAGACGCAACATCTTTTCCATCTCCTTCCAGATGTGGTATGGTTTTCAAAACCAATCCATACTAGTTTTCGTAGCCAGAAAACATGGTTTCTGGCTGTGGAAACCAGTTGGTTTCCGTTCTGGTTTTGCTCACGGAAACCAGACTGCACAAAAAGTCTTTAGTGAGACTCGATTTCATAACCTCCCACATGGGAGAGGTTACTACATGCCAACTGATCATAAATTAATCAAAATTCACAATATAAAATTAACCTTCGCAACATATGCGGCCATGACCGACGGAAAAATCAATTGCAAGTTGCCATTATATTTTTGTATGGTAGCGTTGCCGCCGACATAAAAATAATGATTAATTTTCAGTTTATGGATAAAGAGAACGTGCATGTAAAAATGACTTTGTGTATACCGTGGCACCACACCACACCACTTTCTTCTCTCAATTCCATTACGCAAGTTATTGCAGAAGTTTTGATGATAGAATTTTTCTAGTATTCCGCACACTACAATTACGTATATTATACAAATTTTTCTTTAGAAAAATAAAACATGAGTTATGGTATACAAACATTTATTCTTAATTAAGTGGAACTAAGAAGGTCCTAACTCCCAATTAAGGTTTGTACAATATAATTCAAATAATTTTAACTAAAAAATATAGATATACACAACATCTCTTTCTGCCTATCTGGATTGCTGAGACTGCATGCAGTAACAGCCTGAGAGCTACGTAAGATATATGAACCATATATTTATCCCTTCCCAATTACAGAATTTTGTTTCTTGCTACAGGTAATTACAGAGAAATTAAAAATCAAACTCTATAAAATATTTATTTATTTTAGTTTTTTAAATAATCATAATTCTTTACAAGGTAGTATCTGTTCTATACCTTATCAAACATTTTCAGCCCAAAGAATCTAAGTCCAACCACAGGGGTTCGAACATATGATCATCCATTTGAAATGATAATCAAAATGTCATCACAGTACATGGTAGTTGTATATAAAGATAATAAATGATGTGGTTTCTGGCCCTATGGTCTACAAGTTTTCAAAATGTTTGTATATTAGTGTTTGTCCCATAAGGTTAACTATAGAGAAACTTTCATCTAAGTGGATGGGTAAATCTAGTTCTAAGTAATTAATAACTTGCAAACTAAAGGAGAAGTAAAGGTCATTAGGAAGAGTCGGTGTGACAGGCTAGATCGACAAAATATTTGTCAGAATTGAATTAAAATGTTGTGGCTAACTTTAACCCTTTAAGCATGAGATATCATGCATCGTGGTCCATAAATACCTGGACAAAGCTTACAATTCTTGCATGCAGAATTAATATTCACTTCACAGAAAAATGGAGAACAATACCGCTACCAAAACACTGTCTCCTTCACAGATGGAGACTCTGAGTGCTTTATGCAATACCTTTCTGCCCGCCATTAATGAAGCTCTTCCAGAAACCACAGATGCATCTGTCACTAATTTCTTCCAAACTTCAGCCGCCTCCACCGGAACTCCCCACCAGGTAAGAATTTGGATACGCTAGAATTATATCACTGCTGGACCACCTGAAAGTGATCTTAAAGTGGTGGGAAATAGCAACAAAGGTATTTCCGGATATCAAAAGTGGTCGGAACAAGGCTTTCGACTTGATTTAAGATCACTTTCAGGTGGTAGGAAATTCCATATATAATTTCCAATACTGTATATCTGTGTCGTGTTGATCGATCTTTAATTATTTCAACTAAATAATCTCCAGGTGGCGTGGGTTATAAACCAGAGAATGAAACATCCTAAGCTGAATTCATTGCTGCTGCTGCTATGGTTTCTGTCAACGAGGATTGGAACATTGTTACTGTGTGGAAAGGGAAGCTTGTCAACCCAGTTTCCCTTTTTGCTACGCTTCCCTGAGATTTCTCAGAAGAAGAGAGAACGTATAGTTCATTCATGGGCCACCAGCAGTCTGCAATTCATCAGAAATTTTTTCACGGCCATGAAAGCTTTGGTTCTCCTCGTATTCTTCACTTCGGTATGTTCTGTGGGACAGCCCGGATTCATGTCCTTACATTTTTTACCACCATTGATGTCCAATACAAGCAGGCGGCTGATAATAAATTTATCGTTTTCAGGTTGATGATAAGGGGGATAACCCAAGTTGGAAAGCAATAGGGTATTGTGGTCCCGACCCTTCCATTTCTGAAAAACAAAAGAAACAGAAGCATCACGATCATGAAGATGATATCGAAGAATTGCTGTTTGGACCTCTGTACAAAGGAATCATTGATCTGAATCTACCAGAAGAACATGTCTTCAACAGGCTGACGAAACTAGGTTGTTCCGTCGCAAAACCGAAGCCCCCGGGGCCGTCTTTCGTCATCGAGTGCGATGCGGTGGTGGTCGGCTCCGGATGCGGCGGCGGGGTTATTTCCGGCGTTCTTGCCACCGCCGGCTATAAAGTTCTCGTCTTGGAGAAAGGGAACTATTATGCGAGAACCAATCTGTCGCTCCTTGAAGGGCCTTCTATGGATAAAATGTTCTTAGGCGGGGGACTGTTAATGACGAAGGATTTGGATATGGTGCTCCTCGCCGGCTCCACCGTGGGCGGCGGCTCAGCCGTGAACTGGTCCGCTTCTATCAAAACTCCGCCGTATGTTCTCCGGGAATGGTGCGAAGTCCACGGGCTTGAGTTATTCGGAAGCGACGTTTACCAGAAGGCCATGGACACTGTTTGTGGGAAAATGGGAGTACAACGTGAATGCGAGGACGAGAGTTTTCAAAACATGGTTTTGAGAAAAGGTTGTCGGGAATTAGGTTATCCGGTCGTGAACATCCCGCAAAACGCGCCGTCCGATCACTACTGCGGGTGGTGCACCTTCGGCTGCAAAGACGGCCGGAAAAAAGGCACGGCGGAGACCTGGCTCGTCGACCTTGTCAAATCCGGCAACGGCGCAATCCTCCCGGAATGCGAAGCTCTGCAAGTAATCCACGAGAGAAACAAAGCTAAGGGAGTTATGTTCACTTTCCAACGCGACGGAGTGAAGCAAACGGCTGTGATCAAATCGAAGGTGACAGTTATCGCCGGCGGCGCCCTCACCACTCCGTCGTTGCTGATAAACAGCGGCCTGAAAAACAAGAACATCGGCCGCAACTTACACCTCCACCCTGTAGTGTTCGCGTGGGGGCATTTTCCGGACACGCCGGGAGAGAACAAGAAGAGCTACGAAGGGGCGATAATGTCGGCGATGTCTACCGTCGTCTTAAACGTTAACGGAACAGGGTACGGCGCGGTGATACAGACGCCGGCGTTACACCCGGGTTTGTTCTCCGCCCTAATGCCATGGAATTCCGGGCAAGAATTCAAGATGAGGATGAGTAGATACGCAAGAACCGCCCACATCTTCGCGCTGGCGAGGGATAAGGGCTCAGGGGAGGCGTTCTCGCCGACCTCAGTAACCTACGACCTTGACAAAACCGACGAGGAGAATCTCCAGAGAGGGCTCGAGAAGCTGTTGAGGATACTGGCGGCCGCCGGGGCCGAGGAGATTGGATGCAATCACGGCACAGGACTAACCCTCAAGGTGATCCATGCAACTAATAACTTTTGAGTTTATATGAGACAAACTCATATTCCTAATTCATATAAGATAGACTCATATTCCTAATCCCTATGAGACAAACTGAATGCAGGTGAAGGATGCGAGCAGGGAAGAGTTTGAGAGGTTTGTGAAGGAAGAGAGTTCACAGAGTCTAAGAAAACACCCGAATCTGAAAGCTTCGGCGCACCAGATGGGGAGCTGCAGAATGGGAGTTGATCCTAAGGCTTCAGTGGTGAACCCAAAGGGAGAGACATGGGAGGTGGAAGGGCTGTTTGTTGGAGATGGGAGTGTTCTTCCTACGGCTTTAGGGGTGAACCCAATGGTCACCATTATGTCTGTTTCTTATTGCATTTCCCAGTCTGTACTTGAGTTTCTTAAGACTCATGATTAAACTAGCTAGCTTAATCATGCAATGGCTCATTGTCTTCTGAATTTCGATCTGTGTGGATTGCTAGCTGCAATAAAATATTTGTAATTTGTATTATGAATCTATCCTACTGAGAATGGTTTAATTTTGGAAGTAGATGGCAAGGTTGCTGACAGTTTGGTAGCACATGCTAAACAACTTGCATTGGTAGGATTTCTTGCCTGGGCAACGGGCAACCAATCATTTTTTAAAAAAAAAATAAATAAGCAATACTAGTTTTTAAAAAAATAATAAAATTTCAAACGAAGGCTCCACCACAGCATTCAGCAGATAGGTCAAATATGGGGGCTCACAAGTAATTTGCTCACTTTGAACATAATTCTTACATTGTTGTCTATTGAATCATTGAGTTAAGTCCGTGCCAATAAAATGTGATAATGGTGTGTGGTAGTGAAAAAGGTGAAGTGAAAAGCATAAAATTACATCTGTTGTTAACTTTTTCTTATCCATAATGTATGATTCTGTTGAGTGGTATATATAGTGAGCCACCGTTGTTGTTGAGTACTGTTTTGATTGATGATTTAATACGTAACATTGAGTTTCATTTGTAGAGAGAATTAAAAGCTCTAAGTGTATATGTACAACCACAAAAAACAATAGTGAAGTTTGGTTTGCCTTAACCCATATAGTTCAATTCATGATTTTTTTTTTTTTTTTTTTACATTTTGAGGTAAACTATTACATCTATCTATTTACATTTTTTTTTTCTCTTTTAAAATAAATTTCGTTTTATTAGAAACTTTACTTCTTTTTTTTTTAAAACCTAATAATATGAAAATAAACCCCAATAAGTATGTTAGGTCAAGATGGATAAGATTCAACATTTTTATACAAAAGGAAAAATAATCCAATAGGTCTTTGCACTTTTACATGAAAAGTACAACTAAACATTTGAATTTGACATTTTGGTGCATCTAAACCCAATAGTTAGTTATCCACATGGAATAACTTGTCATTATGGTTCCGGTGACAATTCCGGCATCTAGTGTTCACCAGTCACCATTGAAGTCAAAGGCAACCAACCAGTCGTCTTCTCCTATGGAGAAGTGACCGCTATGTTGCGGTTGATTTTATTTATTTATTTTAATGACGGTGGTCAATGATGCTTAACAATGATTAACGGTAATGGTAAATCAAACTTATTTGACAATTGCATATTTTTAAAAATTCATGAGTTCAATTACACTTTTATATAAAGTTCAATGATCTATTTGATACTTTTTGATCTCTATACAAAATGTATTCATGGGTGATATCATCCTACATCCTCGCTCAGTAAAAAGTCATAGGCCCTATTTGGTAAATGGCTGTTAGCTGATTGGATTAAGTATAATGTATAACTAGTTGATAACATTAGCTGATTGTGAATATGTGTTTGGTAAATTAGCTGTTAGCTGTTTGGTATAATTTCTTTTCTCAAAAAGTTAATTGAAAAAGTTGCTTTGAATAACTTTTTGAATTTTAACATTTTGGAGTTACAAAAAGCTAATTAACCAAACACACACACACACACACACACACACACACACACACACACACATATATATATATATATATATATATATATATATATATATATATATATATATATATATTAACCAAATCAAAGTGATAATAAATTAATAATAGTCAAATAAACTAAAATTGACTGATAGACTAACTATTTTATCAAACAGGCCATAAAGTTATACTTTTAAATTCAAAAGATTGGTCTTTTTAGTTCTGAGATCAACTCTTAAGTCAATTTCATTTAAATGGATCAATTCCACACAATGGTACCCGGTACCGTTTAACGCAATTCCAACCTAACGAAATTTGACCAATAGATTAGGTATATATATTGGATTTAATTTTAAATTGATTCGGTTCCATTCAGATTATTATGATTAAAAATTCATAGTGTGTGTAATAAAAGTTCATTTATAATTGTAATTAAGCCTCTTTCAATTATTAGTCCTCAACCTGGCCAGTGCCCACCGGGCTAGCTAGAAACTAAACCACCCGTTCCAATCCATACTATCCAGTTGACCACATTCACCCTAGGCTAAAATAACTTCAGCCAAGTTATCATATTTTTGACTTAATAACATAAGATTACAAATTCGATCCGAATGAAATAACTTATTAATTTTCTTAATTTAAATTGATTAGTTATGAACAATCTAAACTGATTTTATTATCTATTTCATGCATACCCTTATATAGTGATTATGGTTTCCATTGTCAATATCTATAATTAAAAAATTAAAAATAATAATAATAAAACATTCAAATCCCCATAGAGGCTTGTTTGGAAGAAAAGGTTACGTTCCACGATAGGCCCCAAAGCACAACCGTACCGGAATCACCAACAAGCCGCCACCAAACGCTTCTTAATTAATTTCAACCTTTGAGTAAGCCTCAAGCTTCTTCTTCTCCTTCTTCCCAGCTAGTTGAATTGTCTCTTTATTCTCCACCAACCTTTTCGAACCAATTAACCTTATACTCTCATGGAAAACCATCCATACATTTTCCCTCTCCTCGTTTCGGTTGTCGTCTCCCTCGGCTTCGTCTCCTGCACCCTCTGTGTCGCCGCCGAATTCAAGAAATCTAAGGTATATATATATCTTCGCGTGTTGTGCAGTGCTTTAGCTTTCGTGCTCAACAATAATGGCGGTTCAGCTAGAATTCATGTAAATTAGTTGTTCGCAGGTGAAGGATCTCAGCGTAGATGGCAAGCAGCTGTGTTCCTTGCCGGAGAGTGCCGCTTTCCGGTTAGGACTCGCCGCGCTGGCGTGTTCTTCGGTTGCTCAGATCGTCGGGAACTTGTTGCTTTGCGGAAAGTGGATGTCAATGGAGCGTGAATGCAGTTGCGGCAAGACTAAGAAGCCCAAAACCGCCATCTTCTTCCTCGTACTATCATGGTACGTAGACTGTCCTTTTCTAAGATGGTTAGTTAGTTTAAGTCTTTATCATTAATGAGATCAATTAGTCTGTACTACTCAGTATGAATAAAATGATAGTTAATTAATCACCACATCCTACTCAATAATTCTTTGAAATTAGTATACTTTTTTTGTTCATACTGCATTAGTATTTGCATCTAACATTGTCTTGATTGGCTGTACTTCATTAGGAGAACGTTATTCTAAGTGCTTGATAATCAATTATTTTATAGTTACGAAAATAACACATTTAATTTACTTCATAGATTTTATCACTTGCTTATTCCAATCCCAAAAAAAAAAAAATCATTTTCATTACACATTTTTTAGAAATCATTTATTCTTAACATGAATTAGTATGTACTTCTTAAATAACATCTCTATCATATTATCGTATAAATATTACTCCGTATTTACTTCCTTCACCCACTATCTAAATCGTCCTTCATATGAATTTATTGTGTTTAGATAAAAACGATAGTTGTCCAATATCTTACACAATATTAGTAAAATTTAACAACCAATATTTATTTATAGTAAAAAAAAATTATTAGTCACATAATGTACTTTCTAATAAAGCATTTCAATTAAAAATAGTAATTAATGATATAGGTGTACCAAAAAAAAAATTGAATTGATCAAAATATTGATGATAGATTATAAAACACTTAAAAATTGTTGAATAATCATCCCTTTTGATCATATTAATTATGACCAGTCGTTCTGTCAGTTTCGGGTTGTTATATTTTTCTCATTTTTTTTAATTATTATTATTAACTAAAACTTGCTTGAATTGAAGTGATTGTTGTTCACCCCTAACCAATGAAGTGGTCTTAGCTTCAATTAATTTGGTTATATATATATATGTGTGTGTGTGTGTGTGTGTGTGATACATAGATAATTAAGGTGTGTGCATATATGCATGGCGCAGGATGAGCTTTGGAGTTGCAGCAATTTTAATAGGTGTAGCCACAAGCATGAGCAGAAGACAGGCACCGGGAGAAGGATGGTTAGATGGAGATTGTTACATAGTGAAAGATGGAGTTTACTTTGCCTCTGCACTTTTGTTCATAATCACCTTCGCTTTAACCATTGCATCTGCCATCTTCACTAGAAGAACCAAGCTCACCACCTCCATACCCAACTAGAATCACATTTTTTTAACCCCCCAACTAAAAACAAAAAAAATCATTGTCATATATGTTGAAAGGGAGAGGAATTTGACCAATTGAAGAGCTAATAAGTTTTGCTATTTAATGACAAGGACATGGATGCTAAAGACTTTATGGTATAGATAGAAGTTACATATTCAAATGTATGGAAAAAAAAAGTGCATACTTTTTTTAGTCTTAGAATAAGAAGGATTGGAATAGGAAAATAAAATGATAATGCACTTATGCACATATGTTGATGTGGGTAAATTATATTGTATATTTTTTTTATAAATACATTTTTTTTTTGAAGGACTATAAATACAAATAACTTGCTATGAATTTAAAGTTAAGTTCATTTTTGTACTCCATGCATATACATGTTTGTATAAGTTAAAATTTCATAAAATATCAAATTTGATAATTTGAGTTTGGTGATTATACCATGTTTGCTCCTAACCTTTCATCTATACCACACGTACTCATATTTACTAGCAATTAATGTGTCCTTGTCACAATTTAATTTTTAGTTTGGGGAAGAAAGCATATGAAGTTTGGGTTGTTGAAAGTTGATGTATTATATTGGTGTATTAATAGAGAAGGGGTCTAAATTTTTTAAATTGTCTATAAAAGAAACAGTACGTCTCAAACGAAAGAAAATGATCAAAGTTTAAAAATGGTTAAAATTTGATGATCAAAGAACTACATGTGGTATAGATAAAAGGTTAGGATCAAATGTGACATGGTCACAAAATTCAGAGGATCAAATTTGATATTAATTTTTTTTTTAATTACATGTTTTTATTCCAAACTATTTATTTTTCAATTGTCCATTTTAATAGACACTAGTAAAATCAAATGATAGATATTCATAAGTTTTATGTGCTGAAAATTTAATTAAGGCGCCATCTTAATTTTTATTCGACTGAAAATCTAAGTTGGAGTAATAACTAAAGAAAACCGGGTCAAATCTTACAATGGGCTTCTACATCTTCTCACAACGACGTCGTTTTTTGCGTTGGAGTATACTTCGTGTCTTCGTCGCTCAATCTGAACAAAGCGAAAGTAAAGCGTTAATTCCCGCCATTGCGCTCTTTGTCTCTCTCTTCTCGGTCTGTCAGCTTGAGAGAATGGACAGTAATCCAGGGACGAGGCAGACGAATCTGAAGAAGTCTTTCAAGCTTGGAGTGCGTTCCTTGCTCACAGCCTGCTCCAAGGAGGTATACTATTTTGTTGTTTAAAAAACGTATACACAATATCTAGTGTCTGCTTTCTGAAATGCCACTGTAATAATTTTTTAATTCCGCCATTTTTTGGGTGAATTCAAAAAGGAATTTTGCAAAGCTTTCTCAAAGTTCAGTCCAGCGGAGCAAGAACGCCTCCACCGGTTATTCATTCAGGTAATTATCATTTCTTCTTTGCTTCTTTCCCTATTTTTGGTTCCACTTTGGAGTACTGATTTTAGAAATTTGAAGAAATTGTGTGACAATTGAGAAATTTGTCTGAGTTTTGTTTGATTTTTCTACTCGTATAATAATTTGGAGATACTGAAAGTTGTGTTATTCATTTAAAAAAAAAAAATTATTTTCAGGTTGTTTCATCGTTGCACGAAAACATAGAGGTATGCCATCTTTGATGTTCGGGGCCAATTTCATTTTTGGACCAAATATATGTTGATTTGCAGTTGTGGCTTATGTGTTTTATTCTTCTAATAATATATTCTTTAAATGGCATTTCATACTAGCTGTTTATTGGTTCACAATTGGCTAGTTAAAGATAAAATATGTATTTAGGAGTACAAAGCTGAAGTTATATCCTTCAAGAGTTTGAGTTCTTACGAATCTTGATGTGTAGTTGAATCTTTGACCATTAAGATGCAGCGGTTTGTTTGTTTCTCCCAGAAGTACTTAAGAAGTTTATATACTTTATTTAGAGTTCCAGTCAATGTAAAGTGACAGTGTCCTCTATTAAAGGTTTATTCCTTAATGCAGGTGTTTTTCTGAAACTCTGCGATTATACTTTCCTCTGCGTGTTATTAGTTGATAAAACTTTTGGAGAAAGACAATAAATGTTTTATGGTTATATTGGATTGCTAGTTCAAAAGTTTAATTCACTTACTGATGACAGCTTTTAGTTGTTGTACTTGTAAACTTGGCTTGCTGGCTATTCTCTCAATCTGATAGAACTCAGAAGATTGAAAGACCATCTACTATGAATTACATGATTCACATTTGTAACTGTTAGAATAGTAGACTGTTCCTAAATAGGGATTAGGATGTTTGCCTAAACCCAAGTTTGGAATTGTAGTAGAATTAGGAACTTACTTGATTACTTTACTTTCCTAGTGTTTTTCTCTTATTCTCGGTTTATTCTCTTGTTGCTTATTTGGCGGGTGGTGGCTCTTTGCCACCTGCCTGACCACTTTAATTTCCAACAATAGAAAATACAAATTGTTGTGTCCTAACTCCTAACTCCACAAAATCTTGCAGGATGAGTTTGAGTCTTTATGCCTGGAAACAGAGGTATCCTCTTTCGAACTGACTACTCATCTTAATTGATTTGCACTGTTGTTGTGTCATGCCAAATCCACATTACAAGTGCTACTGTCAGTTTATATTGTATTTTGCTACACCAATTCTCTATCCCAAGTGTTCTTCACTCTCACTCTCATGGAATGTACTAAGACTTGATATACTGAAAGGATACCGATCATGAATTAGTTGCAATCATCATTTCTAACAAACCTCATTCTGTTTGTCTCTTGTTCCTTTTCATAAGAAAGACTGAATTGCAGGTTGTCTTTAGTCTAATTAAGATCTTCCGATAACAATGATAACTCTACCTTCTTTTCTTTCATTCTCTCTTCAGTATTAATTTGGCTGTGAACTTATGGTGGAAATTTCTTATTGCTTCCAGGCAGGAACTGTTCTTGATACTGTGGAGCATCTTGTAGAAGAGCAAAGCTTGGATCCACTCTCTTCTGAGAAGTAGGCTTCTTGAAATTTTAAGAATACTCCTTACTTTTGCATCCACTTAGAGAGTTAGCCATTTCTTGGAGAAGTAAACTGTGCTTTGTAGGCTGAACCTCTTTGAATACAAGGGGGAAAAAAAAAGCAGAACAAAGAGCAGGAGTAAGAATTTGAGGTCTATTATTTGGCTTCTATAATTTTATTACACATAAACTACTTCCTAACTCTCTTAGGGGTTAAACAAGGTCCTCCAAAGGAATGAGATAAAACTGCTACTAGATTGACAGGATTTCAAACCTTCGTGTTGACTCATATATATATTTTTTTATGTTCCTTCCTAGTATATAATATATTTTACCTTTTTATCATACTCAAATGCTTAGTTCATGTTGCTGGTAATTTTAAGGACTGAGGTAAGAAGATTGAATATAGAGATTGTGAAGGTAGAATTACGAACAGTCTTGGCCACATCTAGGTATCAGATGCATGCAAATCTTACATTGTTCACTTAAACAAAATCATTGTTGGCTTTGATTGTTATTGCTTGCTTGTATAATGATCTTATGTCTGTTCCATGTGAATGACAAATTCTTGGATGCTTTATGTCAGTAATGACTCTAAAATTGCATTATAATGATTCCAACATGTGGAAAAGAATCAAGTGAAGGGAAAAACAATCAGCGCACATTGCAAAAATCAGTAATTTATCTCCATGAAATAATTGCAACATTTTTACAGGAGTAATATTGAAGAAACTGGCCAGTATTTATTAGAAACGAAGAAGAACGAGATCAACCACTTGATGGGCATGCTGGAAAAGGTAAGTATTGTCCGTTCATTGAGACTTTTGGATGCTGATAATTCACCTAGTGGACACAATAAAATGGTCACGTGTCAAGATGTGATTTCTAAGTAGTGTCATGTTCTACTTATTCAGTTAGTAGTTCATTTCCAACAAGGTTTGGTAATATACAATGCTCTTATTATGCTAGAGTTTAACTTTGGGTAGACATTAAGAAGCTTCGACTTGCCATTTGAAGAATTAATCAATTAAAGAATTAATTAAAATAAATGAATATATTTATATTCTTGAGACCTATAAATGCTTTTTAAAATAAGAGAAGTCCCCTATAAGAAAGCTTATTGCTTGAACATGGTGGAGGAAGTAACTTAGAAGTAAAACATATTGTTCAGTGCCTCCCAACACTTAGGGATGTCTAAGAAACGTAATTCTAGCACATGAAATGGGATGACGGATTATGCTATGACTATTCTTCTAAAGTCTGTTAGCTTCAGTTTGTTTGCAGCCACTTTATTACTTATGAGTGAAGATTAATGATATTTTGAAGAATTTGTTTTTGGGTCCTTCTATATTAGTAAGATGCAAGCGTGTTACAAACATAAGAACTAGATGAAAGTCAAGCATATAAGATATATGCATATGTATTAAGAGGTGAGTAAGAAAGTGCATGATATTATTTGCATTGGAATAGATGATTTTAAAGTATAATTATGCATATTTGAAATATGATGCATGATAAAAGTAGAAATTAGTACAATTATTGCAGTTTAGGAATACGGATTGTAGTTTTGGAAGTGCATTCATAAACTCAATTAAGACAACTTAACTGAAAAGTATATTAGCCTTCACAAAAAAGGAACCAACCATCATATGGATATTATATGTAGGGTAGATTGGGTAAAATTTCTCAGACTAACTGGAAACCATTGTAAATATTACTTTTGGCAGGCAGAAGAACAGAAGCGGCTCATTAGTTCTCGCCTTGAATTCCTAAAGAAAGAAAAACAAGAATTCTCGGGCGCCACAGATTTTGTGGACAAGGTATTTTGTTACTTCATGGGTTCTCTCCTTCAAATGACTGCAACTAGACTACCATTTTGCTGAAAGGACCTTTCATTATTTGTGAATTTCTGCAGTTAAGGACAGGGACCTTGAGCTACAGTACAGGCAATGATACTGGAAATAATCCTTGATGTATGTATGATCATTGATCAGTAATGTTTCTAAGGATCTATTTGGCTCAACTTTTAACTTCAAGCCTACAGAGCAAACATAGTCCAAACTGTTCTTTTTTCTGTTTCCATTGAGTGTTATTATTATGAACTAAAAAAATATCCACTTGGTTCTTGGCAGCTTGTCAACCATATTCACACCTAATACTTACTCAAATTTATGAGCTTTGCCCCTCAAAGGCTAAAATCTTCTCTCTTTCTCTGATTTATTATTATTTTTCTAAATTTTTTTTGTAATGAAACTTGCTATCTGTCCTCATTGACAGAAAGAAAATATAATGTAGTTAGCACATGATTGTACCATGTAGTCATGCCCCTTTGTCTCTAATAAAATTTTGTTTTTATAGTCAACTATAAGAATAGCCTGACATACACTTGCCCACCAGAGTTGACTTTTAGATCTCACTATGCTCTATATTACTATCTATTTATTTCTCTAATGTGTAGTATGATAGTACTATGATCTAGGCATATTTGACCAATCATTATCTTATCTTCTTTTTTTGTTTCTTCATTGAAAAATTCATTATAATTTTTTTAGTGAGATTTGAATTTAAGACTAATTTCGTTTTCCGTTTTGAATATCATAAGAAGTATTTCTCAATTTGATTTGTGAGTTGTGACACACCCACGAATTAATGCTTGCCAAAAGTATTGAATAGGTTCATCCAAGTCGCAATGCATATCCAAAAAGTGTTAGCGTCATGTACATTGGGATGGAAAAGATATTGAATTTTCAAAAAAATCAAATAAGTCAACGTTATACAAATTAAATTTAATTCAAATCTCATTACATAAAACAAAAGTTGGACCAATTTTAGTTTGTTAAATAATATTTTATTTGTCTCGAATTGGTTGTCACATTTGCTTTATGTTATGTGTTTTTAATTATGCCTCTCACATTTGGAAATAAAAGCAACAAAGAATGCAAAACTCACAAGGGTAAATTGGAAAAAGTAAATGATGGTGATGTTCAATTTTGAAAAGATGACAATATTTTGTAACAAATTAAAAAGGAAAATAAAATAGGTAATAATTAATAAGCTCTGCTAAACACATAATCATCTATTATTATTATTATTATTATTATTATTAGGGAAAATTGCACTTTTCATCCCTAAGTTATAGGGTAATTGTAGAATTCGTCCCTAAGTGTTGGTCATGCTCACTTTTTGTCCCTAAGTTATCATTGGCGTTGCACTTTTCGGCCCTGAGTTATAAGGTAATTGTAGGATTCGTCCCTAAGTGTTGGTCATGTTCACTTTTCGTCCCTAAGTTATCATTGACGTTGCGCTTTTCGTCCTTGAGTTATACTAAAATTGCAAATTTTGCCCATAATCACTACTACATAAATGGTATACTACATCACTTTTTAAATAACCGTTGTCTAATATATTGTGTTATACACTTATACTACGTCACTTAATAGACGACGGTTGTTTAAATAACTACCTATATAGTTGACATACACGGCAGTTTTTTAACCACCGTATATAGTTAACATACACGACGATTCCAAACCGTTGTAGAAAGTGCATATTTACAACGGCAGTCACTTACACACGCGACACTTCGAAAACTGTCGTGTATGTATAAAAAAACCGCCGGTGGTTATTTAAAGTGTATGACATAAAAAAAAAATAATTAAGTTATATACGACGGTTATTTAAAAACCCGTTGTCTATTAAATGACGTAGTATAACAAAATATATAAGATAGTGGTTATTTAAAAAACATCCGTCTATTAAGTGACGTAGTATACCATTTATAAAGTAGTGATTAGGGACAAAAATTGCAATTTTAGTATAACTTAGGGACGAAAAGTGCAACGCAAATGATAACTTAGAGACGCAAAGTGAGCATAAACAACACTCGGGGACAAATTCTACAATTACTCTATAACTCAGGGACGAAAAGTGCAACACCAATGATAAGTTAGGGACGAAAATTGAGCATGACCAACACTCAGGGACGAATTCTACAATTACCCTATAGCTTAGGGACGAAAAATGCAATTTTCCCTTATTATTATTATTATTATTATTATTAAAAAGAAAACTTAAACCGATTATGGAGGAGTACGTGTGATTTGGTGATTTGATGAGTTGGAAAGTGAATGCATGTATGTACCATCTCTATCTTGGTCTATATATACGTACGGTTGCTTTTTTTGAAAATATATTTAAGACTTTTAACAATCACAACCATTTTTTTCTTGAAAAGATGACAATAATTGCATAATTTAAGATATTAAAAACCCATTCAAATAGCGACAATTCAAGTAACAACGTTGTCGGGTTACTATCCAATGACTCACAATTGTAATTCCCACAAAATGGTACCACACTTTAGAAAGAAATTGATACTGATTACATAACATTATGTGTACAAATTTATAAATTC